AATTATGAATAATTGTCAAATTTTATTAATTATTTTTATTTTCTAAATAATAAAATTAATTGCTAATATATATATATGAAAATTCATCAAATTTTAAACATAAAATATATTAAATTATGGCTAAGTTATCTATCAAATATTTGTATTTACATTGCCAAATACTATAATATTATAATCAAACTATTTACAAATATTTAACAAATATTTATATTTGATTTCATGTTAAGTGGTATCAAACAGCATAAATTCAACTTAAATTTAATTATAAAAAATTTAAAAATTCAGTAATAATTTGATATATCAAATAATCAAATTTTGACTAGTGTATATTATATATTCTATATAGATTATTCTTATATATTACCTTACTTTTGCTATTCAAGAACTAACATTTTTAATATATTTTTTTATAATATCAAAAGAAACTTATAGGATATAGAAATTCTATTACTAGTTTAAACTATCTAATCTATTGATTTATTTTTGTTTTAAGAAATCTTAATTAGAGAAATCAATTTAAGTATTTTTTTTATCTTATCATTTAAATTTCAAATCATAAACTTGTATCAATTTTATTTATATAAGCTATGATCTTTTTTATTACTTATGATTGGTATAACCATTTAAGCTTTATAATAAATTGAAATATTCCAAATTAGGGTTTTAATTACTATTGAAAGATATCAAGTGAATTTGTTAAGATAGAGTACAATCCAATTTGTATTTTCAAATATATTGTTATTATGGAGGTTAATAAGGATTAGTTAAGATAGAGTATAGTTTGATTTATATATTCAAATATGAGAATTTTCAATTGTTCAATAACTATCATAATATTAATTAGATGATTATTATATTGTTATATCTCTTCTAAAGGAATTATAATTTCAACACCCACTGGATTAGCATGTGAACCAACTTCTTATAAGAAATAGTACTTAACAAGTTATAGTATCAGATATTATATTAATACTATTTAACTACCTTTACTTGGAATTGAGTTAATATTTTGTGATTTGAACTTGAGAATACTAATTATTGTATTATTAATTCACAGGTCTTACTTTTAATTTTATAAATAATTTTATTTATATTTATTTATAAAAATATAAAAATTTTGATTTGTAGATTAATAATACAATAGATAGTATTTTTAGATTTTCAAATATATATTTTTAGTTCAATATTTATAAGAAACAAAATATATAAAACTATTCTTTATTTGTAAATTTATTAGTTTTTCTATAAAAGTTGTATTTAAATATCTAAATTCTAATCAAATTTAGTTAATTGTATAAAGATTGAATTTTAAATTTTTCTAATAATTATAAATTAAAATAAAAAGATAAATTAGAAAAAGTTTTTGATTTAACTTCTATAAAAAGTTTACTTTTTTAACTAATATAGTAGACTTTATAGCATAAAAAATATTCCAATTTAGAACTATTTTAATCTAATATTTTGCTTTAAAAATAGAATTTAATAAAAAAAGAAGTCCAAAACTGTAGATAGTAATAAAAAAAATGGTATCTTTTTTGAGATTCCAGATAAAAAGTATTAAATAGAATATTCAGATGATTTAATAATTTCTGAAAAATATATGCTTTAAATAACAACTATTGAAATTTAAATTAAATTAAATAGTTTAAAACTAGTAATAGAATTTTTAACTTTTAAAAATTTTATTCTATATATAGATTTATTTATATAGTAATCAAAATTAGTATAACTGAGTAAGGCTATAGATAAGAAGGCATATTAACTTAAATAGATCTTGTAATAATTTAATTGATATAAACAATTCAATAAAATATATGTATTATTAATACTTTTTATTTTAAAAATATATATACTGTATATAATTTATTTCAAAAATAAAAAAAAACAAATAGAAAACTAAATTTTTTAAAAAATAATATTATTAATATATATATATATATATATAGGTTTATTACATAGAAGTAGCAAAATTTTTTTAAAATACAAAAAAAAGTCATATTAATTATAAAATTATTTTTAAAATCAAAAATTAATAATAATAAAATATTAAATTAAAGTACTAATATTTTAAAATATATAAAATAATAATTTATAAAATTTATATTAATTCAAATTATTAATTGTAACTTATTAAATTATAATATTTTGATTTTTAAATTTATTTACTGTATGTATAATTTAGAAAGTTTATTTAAAATACTATAAAACGAATTTAGCAGTTATCCGTATATTTTTAGATACAAAATATATCATAAATCACGTGGTATCAGAAATTGAGTATATTTCTAGTAGTATCCCATCACCGATCTTCTAATAATTTTCTTATCGCATAAATTTGACTTAAATGCCGAGTGCAAAAATAGCTCCTTCTCTTCTATCAAGCGACTTCGCTATTCTTGCTTCTGAAGCGGAGCGCATGGTAAAAAATGGTGCCGACTGGCTGCATATGGGTAACTGATTTGTATTTGATGTCGGATTCTTAGTAATGCACTAATGTTTCTTAATAACTTCAATTTGTATCTTTCGTAAAGACATCATGGATGGGTAAATAATTATTGATCTGTATTTACTGTGAATGTATCTATAATATTTACTTTTTTTCACTAATAAAATAGCCATTTCGTACCTAATCTTACGATCGGTGCACCAGTTATTAAAGCTTTACGTCGACATACAAATTCATTTTTAGGTAACTAGTTTTTTTTTTATCAGCTTAGCAAGCATTCATTCTAAATAAATTTTTTTTCAGATTGTCATCTAATGGTATCAAATCCCGAAAAGGTCTGCTTACTACTAAACTGCAATATGAATTATGTATGTTCAATGTGTTTATAAATATTATAATATTAATTCTTTAATTCTTTTCACATAAAGTGGATTGATGATTTTGCAAAAGCTGGTGCTTCACTATACTGTTTCCATATAGAGGCAACGGAGGCGCCATTAATGCTTATCGACAAAATTCGTAAAGCTGGAATGAAAGTTGGGATTGCTGTTAAACCTAAAACACCAATTGATTTGATTTATCCTTTGGCGGATAAAATTGATATGTGTTTGATTATGACTGTTGAGCCTGGTTTTGGTGGTCAAAAGTTTATGCATGATTGTATGCCAAAGGTAAGTTATAACTTCCACTTTTATTAACTATTGTCTCAACTTAATATTTAATTAGAACATAATTAAATTACATTATTATATTTTATGATAATTAAAATATAAAACAGGTGATGGAATTAAGAAAGAGATTTCCTGGACTTGACATCGAAGTTGATGGAGGATTGGCACCTGACACAATAGAAGAGGCTGCTAAAGCAGGTGCAAATGTAATTGTAGCTGGAAGTTCAATTTTTAATTCCGAAGATCCCAAAGAGGTCATCACACATTTTAGGAAAGTAGTTAATACTGAACAAGGAGTAAATATATGAGAGGTTAAAGGCGTGTTGAGTGATCATTTTTAGGAGTAAGATTAATATTTCGTGAAAGGGGAAAGTTTAATTGAAAACAGTTGATAGTAGATATGGTGTTCAAATTAATGAGTTGAAATCTGATTTAACTTATTTAAAAGCAAGTAAGCATTAACAAAGCATCTAATAAAAGAAATTATATACATTATCATGTGCGTGTTAGCTTACTATAGTACTTATGAAAAGTTTTTATACGTTTTATGAGATGCATTTTTTTCACAAGATTTAAATAAACTGGAGTCAAAAGTTATAATTTAATCAATATAATGTATATTTTTTAACAAAACCTAAAAAAAAAAAAAAGAATATGCTATTTACAATATATAAATATTCAATACCTTTAACATATATGCATTGTAAGCATAATGTCTTTTTTTCATCTACAGTATATCAGAAAGAATAAAAAATCTTACGATTTTTTATATAAAACTTAAACCATTTTATTTTTTTTATTTTTTATTTTTTTTTTAAGAGCAAAAAATGATTATCAATCGGTAATTTTATTGTAATTTTTAACTTCAGTGAAGATTTAGACTTAAACCATTTTAATAATATTATTATATCAAATCATATATAAAATATTTATTTTTTACTGTATAATAGTTTAAAAAAATTAATTAAAAAAATAAATATTTTATTGATTATATAAATATAAATATTTTAATATTTTTAAAATCGAATAGTATAATTTAAATTATTTAGATAATAATTATAATTAATTTTAATAATATAAATAATATAATCATAAATCAAAATATAATATGATATGGTTTTTTTTTATTAAATAAAATTTTATAATTAATTAAATAATTAAACTACTTATAAATAGATTCAATAGGTGTAAAAGTCAAAAATAATAAATATTATATTTAAGAATTTTAAGTGAGAATTAATATTTAATGGTTGTAAAATATCAAGATGTTTTATTAAAAGGATGAAAAAAATATCCCTTTTATAATAAATTATTGTAATATAATTCTTTATTTTTATTTTTATTTTTTTTCCTCTAATCAAACTGCTAGTAATATGTTTATTAATCCTTTATGGAAACCGTGATACAATATACATATGATACTATACTAAAGGTAAACTTTTTCTAACATAGCAGAACACCCGTCAACAAGTTATTTTG